CACTACCTCATTTTTTGAGTAGTTAAAAAAAAAAAAACAAAAAACCTAAATATCCATCAATAGGATATAAATAAATTAGCCACATCTTGGAGATTTAAAAAGCAATTTAAAAAGATCAGGCAGATCTATAGATTGATGTGGAAATATCCCAGGGAATATTTTTTAAAAGTCAAACTGTAGAACAATGCAAAGAACAGGATCTTTTATGGTTACCAGCGATTCCCCAGCCACATACGTGGGAATGTGTGTGAATGCACATGTTTGTATTCCAAGTTTGTGAAGACCCTTTGGAAGATGTACACAACTGACAAGGAATATTACAGAAAGATGGAGGAAGGATCACACACTTCTGTTTTTTACTCTCACTTTTTTGGGGGGGCATACTAGAGTTTTGAAATCAGGGTCTCATGCCTGCTAGGCACTCTCACTTGAGCTATACCCCACCACCTTTTATTTTTGTTGTTTTTTTTTTTCCCCCCAGATAAAGTGCTGTGCTTTTGCCTGAGCTGGACTTGGATTTCAATCTTCCTACCTCTGCCTCCTAAGTAACTGGGATTATAGGCATGTACCACTACACTGGACTTGTCTCACTCCTACTCTCAAATTTCTATTGAAATTTGTTACAATGAGAGTGTGTTCTTGTATTACGTGGTTGATTTAAAAAACCCAAGTGATCTTGGGTGAACCAATTTGATGATCATTCTTCTTTTTTTTTTTTTTTTTGGTGGTACTGGGGTTTAAACTCAGGGCCTCATGCTTGGTAGGCAGGTGCTCTATCACTTGAGCCACTCCGCCAGCTCCTGATGATTATTCTTCATGAGACTCCCTCCATCTGATTAGCTAGGGCCTTGCGAAAGCATCCCATTTCCTGAATGGAGCAGGGCTGGAGTTAGGAGAACCTGTTTGCTTTTGTGACACTGTGGCGCATACACTGGAGACATTGCTCAACTCTTCAGCAGAGGTGCAGTTTAAGCAGCCCTAGTCCCTTCTATTTTCTGGGGTCCCTCTGAGCATCAACAGCTATCAGGATGGTCAGGTAGGGAGGGCCTCTGCTGCCTTCATTACTTTCCCAAGGAGATGCCTGGTGTCCTTCTTTCTGTGGGCACTTGGTCCAAATGAAACCTTCTACTAAATTCCACTAAAACAGAGACTTGCCCATTGGACTGGGAATGCCCTTCAGAGGAGTAATCGTGGAAATGAATGCAAATTGGGGATAAAGAGTCTTCCTTTTTGCAGAAAGCATCCATGAATGCAGAATCAATTACCATTTGATTTGCCAGTCACAGAAAATCCTTTTCATTTTGGAAGGGATGAATAATAAGTCATGATTAAAAATGACTATAATCCCTTTAATGGGATGTTAATGCTGTGTTACATTAACATGATTGTGGATGGCAGGGGATCCCCTTTTTGGGTCTTCCTCAAGGATGCTCAGATCCCCCTGGGGGGGCCTCTCCCTGCACGTGTTTCTGAGGGGTTTCACCTCTGAGAATGAGTCCACAAGGAGGTGTCACCACATGGCTCCTCTGGCAAGCCCGACTGCAGTGTTTTCTTTGGGTTGTGACATTCTCAGACCCCTTCTACTTTACATGAAGGTAACTATAGAGGATCCTAAAGTTGCGGTAGGGTGGTGTGGAGGCTCACATGTGTGTGATCTTCAAGGAAAATGTATCTCAGACAGGACTCACTATTTCTCCACAACCTAGTGTTAGCTGCCTCCCCTTTCCTCCATGACCCTCTTTCTTTAGGGCATCCTTGGTGGACCCCTCAGTATAAGCTTTGTTGTCTACTCCCTCTCCCTCCGAGGGTCACAAATCCCACTGCCCTGCTTCTCCTCAGCTGTACCCTCGTCACAGATGTCCATCTTGGAGGTCTTTCCTCTGTGAGTGATGGCACTCACTATTTCACTCTGTTGTGCTCCCCACTGCAGGATGAACATATGAACATTCTTAAACACAAAATAAAAAAAGCCAGCTCTGATGATGCCATTCATGTGCCAAAATTATATCTGGTTCCCCAGCATCTAGGGACAAAGGGCCCCACCACCTTCATTCTTCAATGTTGCCGCATACGCATCCACCTCATCAGGGTTTAGCTATCACAGCACCTGCCTGCTTCCTCATTGTCTGTAAGTGTACAAGGGTAGCCTGGGTACCCTGTGGGTCCGTGTGGAGGAGGTGGGAACAATGCCAGGCTCAGAATCTTCCCTAACACACACTTGTCCCTGACTTCAGCCTGGTTGAGCTCCCGCCCTCTCTGCTCCCCTCACTATCTCTGCTGGATAATCTCCCCATCCTTCTGCTCCCTGCTAGAACCCACTGTCTTCCAAAACTTTGTGAAGAGGCCACAGCCGCAACCTGTCCTGTATGTGCAGCTTCCCTCTGAGTACTTTCTCCAAGCCATTTTTTATGGCACCTAAGGTTCATTCTGCTTTAAGACATCACAGAGCCCAGATCTGGGCATCTGCAGATATTCGCGGAGCCACTGGTGCTCGTGCTCTGGCTTGTCACATTGCCCTGTCCCCTCTGCCCCTTTGGATTAAACACACTTTGAAGGCCTTGGCAGTCACTGTTGACTTTGTAACCCACAGGTTTGGCATACAGTGGGTGTTCAGTAAAAGTGATTTTGAAGAAAATAGCGGCTGAGGGATCTTTGTTCCAACCCACTTGGCTGGGTACATGAAGGGCCTGGTCCCATGTTGTTGGGACAGATTCTTCTTCCATCTCTTTCCCTAGGGAGGTTGGGGCTCTTACAAGTCCACAGTAAGGCGCAGCCACTTTACTGGCCACTGGCCAGCGCATCCCCTCTTCTTCCCCCTCCTGCTGTCAGAGATCAAAGGGAGGCAGTGGGCAGGCAATGGGAGGTGGGAGGGAAGAGGCAGGGGAAGAGGAGGGAGGGAGGGAGGGACAGCTATGGACTCTAGTCGATCCTTCCTTCTTCCCTCACCGTTGCAGGGCTGAGGTGCAGACTGGGAAGGGGCCTGTAAGTTCCTTCTACCCACAGCTGTCTGTGACTCCTCCTCCCTGCAGCAACCTGGTCCTACACATCATCTAGTTTTGGCTTCCTTATGGTAGGGGCTGGTTTTCTATCTCCTAAAGTCCTCTGGGGTCTCATGTGGCCTGATAAAGGTCCTGAAGTTTATCAATGTTTCCATCATTTATGTCAACATGTCTTGGTTGGTTGCTAATTAGTCACTTTTGTTTCTAATCTCTCTTACTTCTTCAATGACATTGTTTTCAGTTGAATATTTTTTAGAGTAAATCTGCTATGAAAACCTTTGCCTGTGTCCTTATTTCTCATCAAAATATTTTTATATCATGGACAGGAGACCAGATGTGAGGCCAATGAAAGTTTGAAAATATAAGTTATCATCTTGCCTGACAGTACCCACTCTGCAGAGGTTACCTGCGAGGTCACACTAGGTCCAGTCCTGCACTCAGGCAGTCCAGCCTGGAAACTTCCTCCAGTGTTATGAACTTGGGACTTTATAGATTCCTGCTCCATATTGAGAGAGGATGAGCTGTTGGAGCACAGCCATCAGTCAAAGGCCAGCTTTTGTGAGTGTATGATGTCATAGACAAGGCTACCCACCTACCATCAATGACCATCATCGGTGCTGGGTTTCATATGTGACTGATCCCTGAAAGACTCAGACAAAACTGTCTTCAGGAAAGCAGATAAGGTTAGGTGTTAAGATATGCCAAAGCAACATTCCCTGGACAAAGGAGGGCATGGAGTCAACATTAATGGGGATAGTCAACCTGGCAGGTTGGGGACAGGGATGAAGGATGTCTGTTCTCACTGGACCTGTTCTTAGAAGCACAGATGAGGATTTCATCCCCTGGGCCACCTTTCCTTGTAGCCAACTTCTAGCTCCTCCAGTTTCCCATGTGATTAACAGAAGGCAGAACATACCTATAGAATGTATACACCAAGCCCCTTTTATTCATCATCCCTGTCCCCAGTCCTCTTCCACAACACTGATTGCATTAAATAGATATTAGCTGACTATAGGAGCTGGACTTGTAACCAACAACCTATACTTCCCATAAACACAGAGGTGTCAGAAAAGGGGATGCTGTCTACTTTTTAAGTATATATCTGCATATAACATCATTTGTTTTAGATCTATCTAAATACCTCCACTACCACCTCATACATTCTCACCAGTTTTCAGGAGCAGGGGCCACCTCACTTTAAGAAGAACATGTGGCAATTTCTCTACTACAAGTGCAAATCATTTGTGAGAATAATGAGGCATTCAAGTACAATTTACCCAGTTACATGAGGAATAAAAAGAGATGGACCCCAAGGAGCCAGGTGACTGGATGCAACCAGCTGATTCCATAGCAAATTCGGGCCCATTTAAGGGGAAGCCCATTCAAGCACATTTCTCTTTCAAGATTCAAAATACTATGATACATGGTCACATATCCTATTTGGGAGGAAAGGAGACAGTCCTCATTGAGCCAAATAACCTAAGTTTGACCATCTTCAGTCCCTTCAGGGTTATAAGAGAGTTCTCTTTCCAGAGATAACACAGGTCACTCCCAAAGGAATGCCACACTGTACCCCAGGCACAATCTATCCACAGAGCCTGGAGGGCTTACCTGGTGACCACCTGCCTAGAAGTAGATCCACACTTGGGCATTCATAAACATTCTGTGTGAACCACCTACTGATCACAGTGAGACTTCTCCCCAACCCAACCTGATTTGACACTAATCAGTGCTGATTTCTGGGGGTGGTAAGAATTCACACTTAGTTTTCTAGATAAAGAACACTTCGAGGTAGACAAGGCCAGATGAGTCATCTAGGGATTCAGATGCCATTTATCATGAATGTGGATATTAGGAAGTTCTTGGATGCTTTACAGAATGAGACAGAATAAGATTTATGAGAAGAAAAGCCAAGGCCAAAGATGAGGAAGTAAGAGTGTAGGTGTCTGTGAAATACTGAACACGTTAACACTGTACCAACAGAAGCATCAGAAAGGATATCTCGCAGGACTGTCCTTAAGGGCATTGAGGAATCCTGTTTGCTGTGAACCTGTGGGAATGAAACCAACATTTAGTATTCAAATATTCACCTCCAAATAGCCTCATGCTGAAAGCTCTCATCCACATAAAAATAATAGATGTCTAAAGATCAATTGAACAATTATATTTTTGTAAGTGCTATGGCACCCAGCTTACTGATTGGAGATTGAGATTCCACTAAAGTTATTCAACAAGAAAATGGCAGAAGCATAATTAAACCCAATATCTGCAGGACATTTTTCTCAATAAAAGCAGATGGATGCCGCCATACTTCCCATAAATTATACTTCTGATTACTCCTTTGTTTTTCTCATTTTAACAGGAAAACAAAATATTATATGCTGTTTTTTTCTTTCTATTTTTCCCAAATTTGTTAAATTTTGACCCTAGAATTACTATGAACTAGACTACATTTGAAATAGACTTCTTTCTCCACACCCAGAGTAAACAAAGTCCTAAAGCTGAAGTTTATTACTGACTCTTTTTGGGTTTAAGACTTGTAATATGAAATTGCCTGTGCGAGAAAACATTTTAGGGGCTTTAGAAAAGATGCAGCTGATGAGAAGCAATTTTTGTTTTATGTGTTAATATCATACTTGTAGCAATAAAACCTTGTTTGGAGGAAGTCTTGACACTCCTGTCTTGGGTGACGATGCCTAGTCTCCCTGTTCAGTACAAAGTCACTGTCCTTCAAGGGATACAGTTTGCCCTCGTGCAGCAATGAGACAGCAGAACTGGTAAGAAGACACTGTGTTTGCTGCATCTCTGCTCTCTTAACTGGCACAGCTGCAGGGTGGAGTTAGCCAGTGGCAGGGTCCCAGGCCCGTCTGTGTCACCGGCAACTATGTCCCACTACTTGAAGTCACCTTGGGGGCTTGGTTCCATCTTCTTTCCCAAGATTCCCTCCCTTTGGCTCACTGCCCACCATGGAGGCACAGGGTGTCTAGGGTGGGAAGAGGTATGGAGAGGGGCTGCATGGAGAGCTGATAAGGAAAGACAGGGGCTTAAAGCTTCCTCTTGCATCTCCCAGAGGCCAGCAGGGCACAGCCAGCATGCAAATGTGCTGCAAGTCACGGGCAAACACAATCTTGAGGCAAAATGAGGAGATCAAGAAGTGAGTTCTGTCTCTACTACATTCACATTGCATTGCTTGCTGCCTCTCCTTCTCCAATAAGGAAATCCAGACTTCACCTTCCCAGGAAACTTGGAGACCCCAGAATTCCCCCTACCCTCTTGTCATGACTCCCCCCCAGAGCTCACTCCCCAGCAGGCAGGGCCCAGGAGATGAGTCTCCAGCTGCTTCTGGTAGCTCTCTGCCTCTGCCAGTGTTTTCTGAGTTTTAGGGGTTGTGGGGACTGTGCAAACACTGCCTTCCTGAAGGCATCATGTGCCCAGCCAAACCAAAGGCGGATGCTTTGTGGGAGTTATTAGGGCTGCAGAACAAGGAGAAAGGAAAAGCTTTATCATTTTTGTCCACAATATTTAGATATTCTTCAGGCAGATAAATTTCTATTTTTTTTTTTGTAGATTGATTAACAGTATTTAAAGCATAAACTACAGTAAACTCCATGGTGAGACTTTAGTAAGGTGAAGGTGGAATGTGTGTGTGTGGGTAGTGGAGGTCACCATGTGGAGGACTGAGTAGGTCTGAGCAGGTGTGAGGGTGTATGAGTGCGACAGTGTAGAAGGTGTGTCAGTGTCACTGTGTGTGAGTATGACAGCACGTTTGGATCCGTGAGTACGTGAGTGTGTGCTGTGAGGGTGTGTGAGTGTGACAGTGTGTGGATGTGAATGTGAAAGAATGTATAAATGTATGTGTTAGTGTGTAAGCACGTGTATGTGTGTGTGTTCCTGGAGTTCCTGGCCCTTGAGATCCAGAATGTGGGACCACAGTGGAGTTTTAAATGCAATTTGATATATATATGAAAACATTGTGAGCTTGTCAAGGAAGATATAAGAATGTAGGGTAAAAATACTCCTTTTTAGTGTCACACGTGTGCTAGAGTGCCCACACTTATTTATTCTCTGTTTGTGTTGACAATTGCTTCTTGGAAAATAAATTGAATGCCCTAGGCTTCCTCTCTGCTTCTTCTGTTTTTACATCCATAAACAGGATCCTGATTCTTTTTTTCCCATGTTTGCACTGTGAAAACTGACAGAGAGGAGACCCTTGCAAAGCCTCTAGGGCACCAGCCCCAGGTCGGGTGGAAGAGGACTCTAACCAGAATTTATCATCTCTTGCAAGTACAGCAAGTTATGGCTTTCACACGTGCTATAAACTTGTCTCACATTTAGGCAAAAGGATTCAGTCAAAAAGGATGGAAATGAGGATTTAAAATATCTATAAAAATGTGGATAGTCCATTTAGTGACCACAACTGACTAATGCTCATAAAGAACTAAGGAGAAGCATTCTGTACCCTCCACTTCCACAGCCTGCACATGAACCCCCAGAGAGAAGAGGTGGGAAGACGTGCACCTGCTGAACCTCAGCCTGCTCCACTGTGGGGTCAGTGCCTCTGTGGGAAGCAAGTGAGGCCTCCCTGTTCAGACACTTGTAAAAACATGTCAGAGAGAGGCTGTGGACTTGCTAATGAGTGGTTATAATTCAGAAGTGTGGAGGAGAGGAAAGACTGGTCTCTAACATTGCTAACAGCATGTAATGGAAGTATAAAGGCTGGCCTTTCTTGAATTTATAGTTCAAAGCCAATTAACTTTCTTTTCCTATTGTAGGAAAGTGAATGGCCAGGGGAAAAAAGTTACTACCTTCAGAATGGAGAGTGAAAAAATGCTGTTTGCTTAGGCAAATATATTAAGATAATTTACATCCAAATCTAACTTTTAATAAAGGTGCTTTCTCAATGTGCCAGGGGTAGTTTGCCCATGTTCTCGCAAATAATTGAATATTTCATTAAATGTATATTTTAAACATTGTAAAAGTTGTGTGTAAGAAAACCCAATCTTTATTCCTGGATGTTTTTTTCTAGGGAGGGTGACTTCCTGTGTAAGTAGATATGCTAAGAAAACAGGTTCTTATTCAATGGTCATCACTGTGACACACAGTTCTTTGTACAAAGTGTGGGGTGAATCTTTTAGTGATTTCTGAGCAGAAATCACTGCAGTTGCTACAGTGACAGGTGTATCAAGAGAAAAGTCTTGTTAGTGGAAGTGAAACCTGGTCCAGGTGAGACCCCAGAAACTGCTGTTGGAAGGATGGGGTGGGGGAAGAGAGAGGGCTGAAGAAGGATGGAGGAAGTGAGATATGGAGAGGAGGTAGGCTGGAAGTGAGGAGGGGAAAGGGGGAAAGAGAAGGAAGAGAAAGCCAGAAATGATCAAAGTATTAAATCAGAAAACCAAAGTCAGGCAAATGGTTACATACGTAAACTGATTTTGCCAGCATACTTACGAAGAATGACGTGGGTGATAACGAATGCAAATATAAAGACTGTCAGAAAAGACAGGGATAAAATAAACATATAAAAAAATCTGTAGTTTCTTTTCCCCACACAGTTGCCTACCCAGGGACAGTGGTGATCAAACCGTTCTGAAATGAGAGGCAGAAAAAAAAAAGTGGAAATCAATTAATAAAATGTCTTTTCACTTGAAGGAGCCCCTCCCCCCATGCGCCGATAATATGACAAAACAACATCATGCTATGAATTTCCAAATTACTCAGAGAAACGCTTTTAACATTGAGACATTACAAGAACATGGTTATTTTTTCAACAGAACTTTGCTATTTCAAAAAACTAAGTGTATGTATTTTTCTCAAGTGGTCACTTAAAGAAAAAGGAGTACAAATTTGCATTAGAGTTAGAAGTAAATATTTTCTTCTTAAGAGTTCACAGAGCAAACTTTCCTTAAGATGGAGACAACACCATCTAACAGTCAGTGCTGGGCTGGGCGGGGCTGGATGTAGCACTGGGTGACTGCCTGGTTTAGTAACAAGGTCACCAGGGGCATGGGGCAGGACAGAGGAACCATCCTATTTGCAACAGTCTCACATAAACTAGTAACATGCGTTAACGCATATCATCTGAAAGCCATGATTGCCCCTCCCTTTCATTCCCTGTGGAACTGGGCTTTGAACTCAGGGCTTCAAGCTTTCAAAGCAGGCATTTTGCTAATTGAGCGCCACCTCTAGTCCATTTTGCTCTGGTTATTTTGGGGATGGCGGTGGGGGGGGGTGTGTGTCTCATGAACTATTTGCCTGATAGCGTTGAACCACCATCCTTCTGATCTCAGTCTCCCAAGTAGCTGGGATTTTAGGCACAAGCCACCAGTACCTGGCTCTGCCCTGTCTTAATGAGCAAACAGAGGCTCAGGGAGATGGAGACTGTGCGCACGTCACCAGCTCAGAGCAGTGGAACTAGTGTGTGAGGCCAAGCCTCTCAGAGTCTCACTCAGGTACTTTGTAATGACAGAATACTGGCTTTGGGTTTTAGTATGCCATTACTGTATGATCCCCTAAGTGCAGACCCAAGGTTCCTCACTTTCGGCATCTCACATTTGTGATTTGCTCTTCCCTGTGCAAGTGATGGCAAAGTGCTTCTCTTTACTGCTCGGCTGATCTACTCAGAATGACTGGGCTGCTCCGTGTCATCCTAATGACCCTCTCAGTCAGACTGCCTGCTGTGTAGCTGGGGAAAACACTTGTAACTTAGCTTCGTACTCGGCTCCTTCCTAAGCTTATCTTCTACCGAATTTTCTTGTTTTACCTATTTCTATGTGCTTTGAAAACATGCAGAGAAGGCTCTGTGAGGTGTGACTACATAAATACAGCATTTCACAGGTGAGCAAGTTGGTCACTTTCCTGACTCTCTGGTCACTGTATTGTAAACCCCATCATCTCATGTTGAATACATGTTTTGAAAAGAGCACAAGGCGACATGAATGAGGTGGTGGCACAGGAACTGTATGGGAACACTGTGGTCTGCAAGTGGCACTGACAAGAAGCTGCCAATGTGAGCAGAGGACATGAGGACAAATTTCAGAGCTCAAAATCATAGGACGCTGATACCCAAAGGCAACTGTTAGTATTGCAGGGCCCCCTGAGTTACTCGTTATGCATGGCCAGTCCCACGTGGCTGGAAAAGCCAAGCCCTGGGTACAAACAACCTCACTGCTGCTGGGGGAGCAGAAGGAAGTTTTAGGGCAGTGAAAACACTCTGGACAATAATGGATACATGCCCTTATGTATTTGTCTAAAGCCCCAGAATGTGCAAGGTCCAAAGTGAACTCCAAGGCAGGCTATGGATTTAAGGGAATACAATGTGTCCATGTAAGCATCAGTTGTCACAAATGTGTCCACTCTGGTAGGGATATTGTTACCGGCCAGGCTGTGTGTGCCTATGGGGTGGGGTTACGCACAGCCTCTCTATACCTTCCTTTCAATTTTGATGTGAGCCTAAAACTGCTCTAAAAAAGTCTTTAAATATTAAACCAGTCTCTGATCTACGGGCTGTACAATGAGGAAAGATTTGAATGAAGTAGTGCAAAAGAGAAAAAAGTATCTGAATCAGCTAGATTTCCCTAAGACTTTGAGGCTGTCTTTTTTTTCTGACTAGAAAATGGGGATGACAGCAGAGGCCAGGAGCAGGAAAGCACCATGCTGGGCTAGAATCTACCACCGACTGTGTGTACTGATTTCCAAACCCAGGAGCAGGAAAATCTCAGGGAAGGACTTGCAGAGCCCAGGGGCGTTGTTAGCACCTGGAAGCCCCCTGCGGTACAAGGTCGTGTGGCCTGTGCTCCATTTCCACTGGCAGCCTCAGCCTTGTATTTTTTGCTGAGAAAATTTAACAATAGCCCAGGGGCTCTGCTGTGCTTTCCTGAGGGAGCAGAAGGACTGAGGGAGGAGGGGCAGACATCTAGACTGGGGCTCCCAGGGCTTGGGAGGCCTCTTGGAAGTCAGCACTCTGATGCCTGGCTCTCCAGCAGCCCTGGTCTGGGAGCTGTTTCCATTTGAAACGTGTACTGTTGAAAACCTTATCCTGGCTGACAAAATCCCACCAAAGCTAAAGGTGCACTGAGTAGTTCTTCCAAGGAACATTTCTCACATCCTCTGCTGATTGCTGAATTCCTGGTGGCCACTGGGTCTGACACTCCCTGGTCCCTCTGTGGACCTGGCCAGCGTGGCCCGGAAGGCTAGAGATGGGCCTGATCAACCACCTCCTGCTCCTAACCCCCACCCTTGGGCTCCTCTCTACCCCGCTCTGCTTTCCTCTCTGCTGGCACCCCCTCTCAGTGTACTGCTTCTCTAGCCACAAACTCTGTGCCTGGTTCAAGTCCCATCTATGATCTGATGATGCCAAAATGGTCACCTCTGGTCTGCAGTGGCAGATTCCTGCTGAGGCATGGCATCTTAGATATGCCTTGTCCCAGAAAGACGTTCTATCACTCCTCCTCAAATGCGAACCTTTCCATACTCCCCTTGTAGCCAGTTACTCAGCCCAGAACCCTACACAACATTGCTAACTCAGTCGTCCCCTCCCTCACATCTAGTCCACAGACAAGTCTGTCATCTCTGTCCCACCTTCTCTGAAAACAGTTGAGTGTTCACTTGTTTTTGTCTGATGAAATACTGATAAAGAAGTAAGCCAAACAGATATTTGTCAGATGGCTGAGTACACCTGTATATCACCAGGAGAGCCACTCCTGTAAGAAGCTGTTCAAGGTCACACAGGTAAGGAGTCATAAAGCTGGGATGGCCCAGCTCCATCCATCTTCAGAACCAGATGACCAGAAAATGCCACACTGCTCTTGCTAAGTATTTTCCATGTACCCAATACCTCCCAGGTGCTAGGAATACAGAAAGGAAATAACAAGATAAGCCTCCATAGCTTCAAAGAGTTCTCTGTCTTATTTGGTAAGGACACTATTTTCAGAGTCTAAAATATTCCTCAGATTCAAAGAATGAACTCCTAATAAACTTTAGTTTCTAAATTCGTCTGCTCTATCACCATGCTGGCAGCACACAACATTCTTTTTTTATGGGCCAAGAATAAAAATGGGAGAAGAATAGTGGAGGCTGTGAGATGGCTGGACCTGTCCCACAGTGGGAGAGGTGTCCTTCTGCTATTAGATACAACATGGCGGGAAGCTGAATTGCCTCTGAATGGTGTAAGTCTGTTTCCAGGCCAGAAAAGTAGACAAGAATTGGGCACAAACTAAGCTGGGGATAGAACGAGTGGCCACAGCTGACACGTGATGCAGCTCCCAGGTATCCAAAGTGAAGCAGTAATTGGCTGCCAGGGCAGACAGACGTCTGGAGGAGGGGAGGGGACCCTATAGCTGGCAAGGCTAGTTGCTTGCAACCACAGCATCTGAGAGGTTTCAAACAAGGTTAGTTTGTGTATTTTCTGTGTGGAAAGCAGAATGGGTGTCTGCAGGTGTAGTAGAGGGGCCTGGGGTTGGTGTGAGTGTGTGTGTGTGTCTTTAAAAGAACACTTTGGAACTGGATCCTGTCAGAAGGGATTATCTCTCCTCTGTACCACAGCATATCTACAGGATTCCTTTTAAAAGAACATGGAGCTATTCCCTGCAGGAGTGCTGCTGAATGGAACACTGGGGGAAGGAGGTGATGGCTGGAAACCCTAGGAGGTTTTTTAAAATAATGAGAGTTCTCTAAAACAATGAGTTTTCTGGGAGTGGTGGCACAAGTCTGTAATCCTGGCACTTGGGAAGCAGAGGCAGAAGGTTTAGGAGTTCAAGGGATAGATAGCCCGTTTCAAAAAACCAAAACCAAAACGAAAATAAAATGTTGGGGGCTTCCTGACCACACCTCCTGTGACCTGCAATGGTCTGAGGACTTGCTTTCCTTTGTTGTCCCCAGGTGACATTTCTAGTCATCTTTACAGCCCTGGCCCACACTCAATAACTATGTATCAAGTAAAGAGATAAATGACGTTCAGTGGAGGCACTGGGCAAGGCTGCTGGAAGGAAAGGTGCTGGGCTTGCCAACCCTAGGGAAAAGCAAGGTCCTCATCATTTGAATACCCTGGCCTGAGTCCCACACTCTCTGATTAAAGGAAGACTAAACTTCAGGGACAGGTAAAAGGCCTTAGAAATAAGTAGACAATTACGAAGATTGGACAGGTACAGAAAAAAAGAAAAAACCCACTGAGATGTGGCAAGAAAAGCATTTGCAAAAGTTGTGCTTGAAGGCTACCAGAGAAAAGAATGAAATATTTTTTGAGGAAAAAAAAAAAAAAGTCAAGAATTTGAAACCTCCCAGAAATTGGACTCTAATGTGGCCGTGAAGTATCCCAGAGACAGGGACCCATCCCGCCTGAGGCCCCAGCCAGGTTGTCACTCCCTGCACCCCCCCCCCCACTCCAGGCGCTGGCTTTGTGACCTGGGCACAACCCCCACCTTGCTCCACAATAGTGACTTGAGAATCATGTGAAATACGAGGCTAAAAGGCACAAGCTAGAAGTTTAAAACTTCTAATTTAAATGCTAATTGCATTCAAATTAAGTTAATGTTTTTGGAGGTTTGAAGTGGAAAATTACTTTTCTTTCAACCTCAGGCTTTTTTACCCCC